TCATGTTATCAAATAACTCTATATGAATGCATCTATACAAAGCATCTAAATCACAGTCATACAGTCCAACCATAGTTCACTAACCATGGTGGAGCACTCAAGCAGGAAAAGACTCCTTAAACATAGAGCTTACCTCTTGAAGCTTTACCAATACGCTTACTTGTGGAACAAGTTACTTTTATCGCTTCAAGAGATTTCCGATCCTTCTCAATCCTAGGCACACCTAGAGAATAATTTACAATGCATCAATAAAATGATGCAATACCATAATTATTTCATAAGCATACATTTTATCGCTTATTTTCCTTTCTTTGCATTTTTGCCAATCCTATGCCAATACACAAGTCTAGACCTCTTTATAACCGTTGGTGTTCTTTAATTTAATCAACCATTCCCTTAGGAATTTTCAACATAAATCATGCTATTTTTCTTCAAAACTCATCACCTTTATACAATTTATTACAACACATTTTATTTAAAATAAAATGTACAAAATATATCCCTAAATACCCTATAGGTCGAATCCTACAAGGGGAATTTCCAAAGATCCTTCTCTTTTACAATGCATTTTCGTTACTTCATTACAACTTGCAAACACCTAGGAATGCTTCCACTAAATTCCTATTTTGAGTTTAGACACCAAGTCCTTTTTACTTAGGCATTCTTACTAACTCATCCATTTTCACTCATTTCCAACACACTATACCTTCACAATACATAATATAATTTTTTTCCACAATAACTCCTACTCACTCCATGATGGCCGAAACCTAGGAGGAAGATGCAATAGGACTTTTAAATTTTTTTATCACATGTGGATGCTTTCTCAACACTATAACTTCCTAAACAACAATAATCCATCATAAATTTCACATTCTAACATCAATTATTTCCCAACAAAATATGCTCATCAATTTCATAACTTAAATCATCAAAATAATATCATGGAAATAGAGGTTTCTTACCTCTAAACACTTGTACAAAGCCTAGAGAGCAATCTCCAAGCCAAGCTCCATCCAAAAACTCACTTTTTCTCCTCCAATGAATAGTAACTCGAAAATGAGAGGAGGAATAACTCTTCACACACTCAACAAAACCTCAAATTGATGGTTGGAATGGGTTCATTGGGTGTTTTACAAGCAATTTCATGTGGTGGGTCTTTGAATTTGGAGTAGAAATGATGGAGAATCAAGGAGAAGAAATTCAAAACCCTACCCCCCTTCTCCAATGGTGCAGCTCGGTTTTGAGAGGGTGAGAGGAGAGAGAAACTGATTTGGGATAATGAGACTAAGTCACTTATAAGGCTAGCACATGTGGCCTTTTTTAACAGATGTTTTTCTATCGCGTATTTTAACTTAAATTGACCCGGAACTAACTTAAAACTACGAACATATTTTTATTTTTTCTAAAATCATTTACATTAATTTTTATCTGTTACAAAACAATATTCATAAGTCACAGTATGGTTTCTGCACCGTTTTTGACGAAATGCACTGTGAATCACTAATTGTACTTTATTTACTTTTAAAACTTAACACTTATAAACTTATCATTTTCTTGGGCCTATATTGACTTGCTTGGCATATATTGGACTTTCTTATTCTTATTTCATCAATTATTTATTTCTGGACTCTACCGGTTGCTTAAACAGCAGTACAAAATACCCGGTAGAAACACTATTCACGAGATTTTCACGGAAAGTGCCAGACTATACAATTTTTCGTTCTGAACTCATATTTGTCATCAGAATTTTCAAATTATGTTCCTAAAATTATTTTGCTCATTTTAAGCTCTACCGGTTAATTCACAAAACTGTAAATTCTCCGGCAGAACGCACTGTTCATAACATAGTCATGATTACAGTCAAAATACTCGAAATCGCTCACTGAATCTAATTATGGCATTTAAATCCTTAAATTAAATCTCTAACTAAGATTTATCAGTTAGGGTCATTATACTTAAGCGCCCCTAGCCACTGAGGGAGGAGATGCTTCTGTCTCTGCGCGCTAAAACGTCCCAGTGGGAGCTTAAGCGCCCAGGGTAGCGCGCTTGAGCGCCCTGATGCGCGCTTAGGCGCCCATCCACACTGGAATGCCTGATGCTTACTGCCTCCGTGCGCTGAAGCGCCCAGATGGAGGCTTTAGCGCCTGATAGCGCGCGCTTGAGCGCCCGGTAGCGCGCTGAAGCGCGCGGGGCCTGTGACCAACACTCTCTTGTGTTGCTTCAAATTGTCCTAACTTGGGCTACAGTGCTCCGATTTGAGCGCGGTTTGAAGCCACGCATAGCTAATGAAGAAACCTACAATATAGTAGAAGTTGTGAAATAAATAAGAAGTAAATTAATGGTTTAAAAATGGAAAATGAACATGATGTTAAGTTTAATTTATCTGTTTCCGCAAGGTAATATGGTTATGATCACGAAATTGGGTATTATAAGTTCGGTATGTTTTAAAATGAAAAATTTATCCGGATTTTAATTGAACCCATGTGATTGTAACTGCGCTTAATATCATAATGCGATGTTAACCAACCGGTTCTAGAACGGGGTGTTACACTTGGCCACATAAACTACTAGTGCAATGAGATTACGTGATATCATGTTTAGTCAGCTTTTGACAGATGGAAATTCTGACACGTGACAAATGTGTTCTGCAACATAGCATGTTACGTGTGTGTCATAAAATAATTTAAATTAATATAAAATTAAACTAAAATAATTAACAAACATAAATTATTTAATTCATTAACACTCCTAAATTAAATTACATTATTTAACGGTTAAAAAATTATTAACTTAACTTAAACTAAATCAAATGAAATTAATTAACACTCCTAAAAATAATTAATTAATAGTTATAAAATAACTTAAATTAATATAGACTGAATTAAACTAAAATAATAAATTTAAATTATTTTATAATTCTTAATTAATTATTTTTAAGAGCGTTAATTAATTTCGTGACACACACGTAACATGTTATGCTGCATATCATATTTGTCACGTGTCAGAAAAGATTACTAAACATGCTATGCTGCATAGCACGTTTGCAACGTGTTAGAAGCTCACTAAACATTTTGATACCACGTAATCTCGCTGTACTGCGTAGTGGCTTACGTGGTCATGCTCTTTCTGTCACGTGTCAACACTTAACTCGCTAGGTGTTCTATAGAGTTAGGAGATGTGACATTTTGAATTTTTTTTTGCAAAATGTGGCATTCATGTCATTTTTTACAAAAAGTGTGGCATTTTGGTGATTGTTTTGTCATGTGATTCACGCAAAAAAAACTTTTGTTTATAAATATGTGAGACGCGAAAGTCTTCGTTAGGCAAGGGTGCTGAACTAGTGGTTTGGATTCTGCAACGAGCTTGATGCTTGAAATATCTCTTTCAAGATATATATGTACGTGGTTCTTCGTTAGACAAAGTTACAACTGATTTCTAAGAAGCTGATAAGTCTAAGGACAAAACTTAGACATTACTAATTCCATACCCTTTTTCTTAACAACTATGGTTAGAGAGACAAAATATAAAATTTTTAACCTGACCCTCACTTAACCATTTAACTTATTAAGTTGAATTGGTTCGTTACATGACATCAGAGCCTTCGTGATTAAGTGATTACGAGTTAAAAAGACAAAGTATAAATCATTAATGTGACCTTCACTTTACAGTTTAAACTTTTCAAATGAAATTATTCTTTACAATTATGTTATCCATTGACTTTTTTAAAGGTTATTTTTAACAAAAGTTTAAAGTTTAAAATGTAAGAAATCTCCTCTAATTAATTTCTTACATATGAGGTTTTCTGGACATTCATAAGGGTGTATTTTATTTTGGGTTGCATGATTTGATAAGTTTAGAGAGACAGATTATTGAGTTTTGAATTAAAGGAGAATTTGCAGCAGCTGACCTATAATTGAAGGAGTTCTTAGTGTGAAATTAACACTTAATGAATGCTTTACAACTTATCTAATATCACAATTCCCCCAAAACTTAGATAATCTCACATCAGGAAGCATGCTAAACGGTAATGATAATTTGATGGAACTCTTGCATCACGCAGGATGTTTGGTCTATGTCAATCTTGGAATAAAATATGTTACAAAAGAGATATAGGCACGTCTTAATTCAGGTTTCAAAGATGTCAGTGAAAACTGTGTGTTCTAGTCTGTAGATCTTAAACTACAGCTAGATCTTGGGCACGCTGCATGCATGTTCCTAGATTCCCTTGTATTGTATGCCAATAATAAATGTCAGAACAGACTGATACTTGCATCATGTCGATTCTGTGGCAATTTCTGTGTAAATGATGAAACCCTTCCCATGATTGCTACTTTACAAACTTAAGAATCATGGTACTAGTTTCATAAGAAACCAATCTTACACCAATATTATTTATATTAGTATCTATTAAAGAAGGAGTGCTGTAAAGCTAATATAGATTTCAATGATAAGCATTTTTCTTGTAAACCACATGTTAGGACATCCATAATTCCACCGAGTGTTCTTCTTTTGGCTAGATGGGGTTCATCAAATTCAATTTTTGGACATGTTTTCATTAATTTAATCAATCCCGTTTCACCTAATATTTGAGCATGCACATATCTGATTATTTCCTTCACCAAAGGTCAGGTTATGCTCAAAACAGGACAAAATATTGAGATAATCAAATGGCTGAATTTTCTGAAATCTAATGTTGATTTCTTTAATCAGAAGAACACAAAATAAACGTGACTGTCAAGTGACTGAAGTCTACAACAATATAATGAAATTTAAAAAGTAAAACATTAAAAAAATCTCCCTCGATAAGGCTAATGGCAACAATTTGCCTTATTCAACTCAGTAACTGTGATAACTAGAAAAGCAAGTTTAGCAAAATATGATCTTACATGTCATTGATTTTCATATAGATAAAAAAGAAATAAACTATGATTTGTCCTTATTTTTCTGCTGAAAAGTAAGCTCCACTCTGGCTCATTTTCTCTTAATTGATTTATACTGGTTCAATTTTCTCCAAACTGATTAATTTTTCACCAAATAGATTTATACTGGCTGTGAACTTCTATTTTGCTGCTGAATATTATTGTCTGCAGGATATTGTTTTGAAGCATCTGATAGTGCTGCAGCAGCTGCTGCTGGGGTCATGGATTGGTACTGAGGAAGCAATGGAGCATTAGTTTGTTGTTGTTGTTGTGTGTAGTATGCTTGGTCTTGCACAAGGCCACCATAGTCATAACCATAATTAGTAGCACCAGAGGGAGTTACAGAAATAGGCTGAGGTGGATGATGGAATTGAGGCAAACCCACATACTGTTGCTGAAATTGATTGGAAGGTATTTGAACAAATGCAGGATTTGATGCCACAGGAGTTTTGTAAACACTTGGAGTTACCTCAGATATAGTAGGGGAAGCTGGCTTAGTGGGGTAAATAGGTGGAGTGCCATCCTTGTATGCTGTTGAGACATTAGCACTTTGGGGTATTAGTGGTCTTCCTGAGGCTACCACATTTGAGTCAGCTATATTGGGTTGCATTGCCATGTTGTATTGTTGTGTATGTCCAACTGGCATTACATAAACTGGGTATTGCTGCTGACCAATAGGATGGTGAAGTTGATTCTGTGATGGTGAAGCATAAACTGGGTAGTAGGATGACACTTGCACTGGACCTGTGGCTGTAGGGTGGTGGATGTAGTGGGTGTTGGCATGGACAAATTGCTGCTGTTGCTGCTGCTGCTGGTGATGGAATTGCTGATTTTGATCCAATTGTGGGGGTAACATGTAACCAGAATCCTGAACTTGTTCCCTTTGTAGTCCAGGGATTTGATCAGATATTTCACTCTTGGCATTTGGCAAAGCAAGAGCTTTGGTGTCAACAGGTGCAGCTTGGACTTGTTCTTGATAGTAAACAATCTTGGAGAAAGAATTTGTAGATGCAATACTACTATCACTGAAAATATCAACCAAAAACAATAATTTTAATACACTTATTATCATCCCCTAAATCAAAAATTGGCAAAATAGTTTGGTTTTTCTTTGAAGGAACACTATATTAAGAAATTGAAAAACTGTAAACAAAAACAAAAGGAGACAGAAACAACTGAAAAAAAAAACAAAACAAAAAAACAACAAAAAGGGTAATATGACACAAATCACACACAAAATGATAGATAGTTAGATTAGATACCTTGTAACTGAATCTGGAGAAGGCAAACTCAAGCCACCACTAGACTTTGGTTGCACAAGCTGCAATGGTAAAGGGGGTTTCCTAAACCCAGCTGGTGCACCATGATCTGATCTCTCATCATCAGAGACAACCCTATTCATATTATCACTTGTACTAACCACCCCAGCTGAAGTCATAGTCACAGCTGCAGGAATTGCAGGCATAGCCACAGCAGAAGAAACAACAACATACCCGTCATCATGCTTCATCACACCACTTGCAGCAAAGTTCATCTGAGCAAACTGATCCTCCACCACCCCCACCCTCTTCTCTTGCTGCTGAAGCCTACTACTACCATTGTCATCAACACGAACCCGAATCGGAGGCAGATTAGCCATTGAAGGAGAAGAAGAAGAAGATGAAGAAGAGGTATTCTCCACCACAGGTGAACCAGGGAATGAATTCACAACATCATGCAAATTCTTAACCTTGTTGTCACTATCATTCAGAGTCAAAGACTCTACAACAACACCTTGAGCCTCCAAGTTGTTGCTTGAACCACAAGCAGGAACACTATCAAGGTTCACAAAAGAATCCCCTGCAGCTGAATCTGACACGACCCTTGACAGCATCCCTGAGTTGTTAAGTGCATCAACGAACCATGTCTCTGACTTAACCTCATCAAGGAGTGACCCCATTGAAACAGTGGTTTCTGGTTTGGTGAAGAACAGGAACACCCTGAGGCGTGAAGGTGAAGGCTTTTGAGCTATACGATCATACTCTTCAATCATGTTATCAAGGTCTTCATCAGTGGTGACAGTGATGAGGTTGTCAAGGTCTTCATTTGGTAACTGGTACTTAAGAGTAAAGGGTCTTCCATTAAGGATAGTGCGTGAGAGCCGTGCACAGAGGTCTTTCAGGGAGGAGTGGCGGTCCACCACCACGATTCGGGTGTCGCCGCCGACATAGCAGAGTGACTTGTCATGTGGCCGTGGCATGATGTGGCCACCATAGCTACACATGAGGCGGAGCTTGCCACCAGGAACAGCTGGTAGAGGCTCATCACTGTATGTTTCAACAATGCGAGAACGTGGAGAGGACTCCACCGAGTCAGGGTGGTTTGGAGCCACGGTGGCGGCAGAGAGGGGTGGCGGATCCATTACAAATGGTGGTGGTGGTGGAGCCTCTTTCACTCTTGCTCAGTTTGGTGCAGAATGATAACAAAGTAAGAAGGAGTTGAATTAGTGGAAGTTTATATTCTTATAGGTTGAGATAAGTGGGGACTTATTCCTTTTCATTTTGTTAATCTTTTTTGTTTCTGTGCTTTTGTTTTTATGAGTTAAAAGCAACCAAAATGAGATGCCTCATTGGCAAATTGGGACACAGTCTGTTACATACAACTTTTTTGGAGCTGTATTTAGTACCATCCAGCTTTCTGCAAAGGTATTATTCAATCAGAAGTAAAGTGACACTCTAAGATCACTTCAATTCAACCTTTTGTTTGGCTTACATTTAGGGATGCAGTGCTTCATTTTCATTTTCAATGCTGAAATTCTGGTTTGGCATGGTATCCAATTTTTTTTTTTTTATCTTTATTTCATTTGATTAGACAGATGAGAGTTATCTTTGCTGATGTAACAAGTGGCCCAAGTGAAAATTTGTATGAGATTATTTAAGTGCTTAGTTTGTCATGTAGTAATTTATATTTCATTCAACGTTGTCAAAGCATATATACCCTTCAATAGGGAGGATTTTGGGAAATTAACACTTTTGAGTTCTAATTGTGTGGTTGTCACTTGTCACCTCTGGTTTCTTGCACTACCCTTCCTTGTTAAAACATTTATAATTTAAATCTGGAGTCAACTCTAATGCTAACTTTCAAAATAAAGTATTCACTTGTTTAATATCTCTTGCAATAACCATATGTGCTGCTGAGTAGGAATGAGACCAAATTTATGTGTATTTTATCTAAGGCTCAAGTGTGTGTCATTTTAAAGGATGTAAAGTTGTGTCATTTTAAGTGAGAGAAAGAGATAGATAAAGGAGGAGAGAGGGGACAAAAAAAAATAAAAGTGTGTGTCCCACCTATTGGTGAGAGTAAAATGATGTAAGTTGTGTCATTTAAAAGGACAAACACTCTTCCCTTTATTTAATTGCTTTCTGAATTCTTGTCTTTGGTCCAAGTCTGCTCCTAATTTTTAATATACGAGTTTGCTCTAGATTTGTTGGTCCATGTTGTCCATTCTTATAAGTTTTAGATCATTTTTCTTCCTTATTTCATAAACCTTAATATTAAAAAGAAAATACTCAAAAAAAGAAAGACAACTGAGTAGAATAATAAGAATATCTTCACTACACTCAGTAAGATTTTGCAGTAAATGATTTGAGGACGAGAACTCTACATTATTAAGTCTAATGCATTGAAAAGAGAATTAAATATGCTGTCACAATCAAACTTAAATATAAAATTTAGTGATAAACGAATTTCCTTTAACTCCTATGAATGACAATATTTGTCTCCTTATACCCTTTACACTTGCTTCTCTGTATATTCCCTTTGTAGGTTTAAGGAATTGAACTAGCACATGCACATGCTGATCTATTGAAACATGTGCATACCTTACTAATTTACAGCTTGAATTGGCTTATTATGAACGCAATCCAAAGTTTTGTGTAGTTCTTGACTTGTCCTACCCTCACGCACGAGGGGGCTGCTTGAGAATAACACAACCCTAGAGAGCAACTATAGGAAAGTAACGTGATCAACAGAAAGCAAGCTACTTGATGGATTTAGTGCCTCATTTTTTTATTTATTGAAATGTGTTACATAATCAGGGATGATTCTCTTATTCTATTATAAAAAATCAGATTCAATTTTTGGTTCTCACATTCGTTATTTGGGGTGCTTGATCTTAGTAATTATATTTTTTTTCTGTTGTATAAATGTTCAAAGTTTATGCCAATTTTTTTTTGTCAAATTGGAATTTTTTTCATTTTGGGGAGACTAGTTGAATAGATAAGTAAATGAGTAAAGCAATCCCTTAACTTTCGAAGCTGATATGATACTTTGAAGAGTCTTATGTTGAGAATTTGCAAGTTGGTTCCAGCATCCAAAAATTGTACCCTGCTACTATAATATTATATATGGTTTGATGCAAATTCAGTTGATATATATAAGCAGTTGTACTTTTCCTAACTTCTTTACAAAACATAATGAAAGTTTATTGCCACTTGGTTAAAAACAAGAAGCCAAAACTTAGATTCTATTCAATGCATCTCAAAGCCTTGACAAGTTCTCAATTGGAATTATTGCTTGAAATTTCTCTTAAATTATGAATATTTTACATTAGCCTAGTACATATATTTGTCTCAGCTGAACCTATGGACTGTTATCTCCCCTTTCGTACCGATTAAAAATTCTAAGAGTTTGTTTGTTATGCATTTGTTTGGATAATATATGCAGTTGCAAAGTCCGGTTTTCAAATTATTTTCTAAATTTGTACCAAAAAGAATGAGAATCTGAAAGGAGGTAAAATTTCACATTTAAGCAAATTCTGACAACTAATATTATAAGTAAATTTGGCTATTTCTTAAAAAATAATATGATAAGCACAAATACTTTGAAAAATGTATGAAATACGCGCAACTTTGAATTATATCTTTTTATCCTTTTCATTTAAATTCTGTTTGAGAAAAGTGTTTATCCTTTTAAATGACACAACTTATATCCTTTCACTCTCACAAAGAGGTGGGACCCACACCTTTATTTTTTTTTGTCAACTATCTCTCCTCCTTTATCTATCTCTTTCTCTCTCTTAAAATGACACAACTTTACCTCCTTTAAAATGACACACACTTTTCCCATTCTGTTTTCTTGGCTCAACTTTAACTAGAAATGCTGGATGTTCCTTGATATGCACTCAATATGTGCTTTAAAAACCTGTACCGTTGGAGGTACATAGATGTGTTTCATGGAGGGTGAAATATATTAATGCAGAAGTGCTTATGGTGGCAATGGTAGAGACTAAGCCTCCAATGAGGCTTCCCATGTATGTGCATCAAGGGGGAAGTATGTGTGTGGCCATGATAACTCTCTATTGTGGCAGAATAACAACATGGAGTTAAGGAGGAGCGAAGAAGCCCCCATTCCATGTGAATGGGGGTATTTAGAGAGGAGGAGTCCCTCTCCAGAGTGGGAGCCCCCCAAAAACGGGTCAATCCCATGAACTATCTTACTAAGCCTTGTCTTGTTAAGGAGACAAGACATGCTGCATGGGCAATAGTGCAGGGGAAGGGTAATATCGCAGTGGTGAACCTCTATGACTTGTCATGGGTGCTCTCTAGAAGATTCTAGATGTGCGCTTTAAGAATGGACACAATTGGTAGGCTTGTAAAGTGGGCCGGCCAGAACAAAACCCAACCTTGGTAATAGTACGAGTCAAGTAACATTCAAAGAAGGACCAAGGTCATGTAACTAGGAACTGTGACAGATAGGTAATTTGATGTGTTTGTTCCCTTTGATGTTGTACCCTTGATCATGAGCAATAAAAAGTTCAGATAATCAACAGTATTCAGGTGATATATAAGTTCAGGTCTCATGCATGAGAATGTAGAATGAATCCAACAACATAAGCTAATGTGGTTGCCCTGTCATGTGATAAATCCTGCACTAGCCTGCTGGAATCATCTAGTGTTCTGCTCCAGATGTGGCTTCTGTTCTGTATAAGTAGCAACGATTGCAGTTATGTTAGGCTGAAAAAGAATGCACCAATTGCAATTTCGTAATCAAGATTAAAGATCAACTAAGCAGATTGATAATTTTCAAAACAAACCAAACCTCAAGCCAATAAATTGGTCTAATGATGAGGGGTTTGAGTAGGTTGTATTAGGTTATGTGTTCAATTATCACTTGTATCGAAAATAAAAAAAAATAAAAAAAGACAAACCAAACCAAACTTCAAAAAGCAAGGGCCAACCGGTTTAGGTCCAACCACCTTGCAAGCTGAGTTGATTTGGTCCAAAAAAAAAAATAGCAAGCCAGTCTAAATTTTTAACTGGTCCAATTGTGGTGATGTCATGATGGTGCCAGTTTCTTATGAGCCACATGTCATGATTCATCACCCATAATTGTGGTGTTGTGACACATTTATTTATACTATATTTTTGTTGGAGAATGGATTCTCTCCAATGATCATTTCCTGTTTTCTATTTTACGAGTTCCATTATTAAAATTTTGATAGTTGATCTATGAGATTTTTTACATTATGGTCATGATAAATCAAGACATAGAGGATCCTTTTCTATTCTATTGGAGAGAGTGTGATGGTGAATTACCATGCAAGCCAAATATGATTCCCCACTTGAAGAATTATACCACATTTCTTCCCATTAGTGACATTGAACTTAAACCCTAATACCTCTTACAAATTATCTAAAGCCCATATCACTAATTCACATTTGGTGGTTTCATATATTAGACATTTTATTTCCAAATCTGTGCATTATTTATAATGATTACTCAAATGCAGGTTGGGTGCCTTGATCATGCTTATTTTCTTAAGAGTAAATAGAGAACTTGGTAATGAAACATGTAGTTAACGTTTAATTTAGTCCTTTAAAAATTCCTTATATCACTTGATCACATGAGTTTTTATTTTTTATTTCATAAATAATCCCTTTGGAGCGAGTCAGATATCTTCATGACCTGGGCAAGAAAAGGAATCTACACAGGTATGAGATTCATCTCAAGTTGGACTGTATAATAATTGGGAAAAATGTGTGTCATTTTAAAGGATGTAAATTTGTGTCATTTTAAGAGAGATAAAGAGATAGATATAGGAGGAGAGAAAGTTGACAAAAAAATAAAGATGTGGGTCCCATCTCTTTGTGAGAGTAAAAAGATATAAGTTGTGTCATTTAAAAGGATAAACATTTTTCCCATAATAATTATCCAGCTCTAATTTCAAAGTTCTCTCATGAAGGATTCAATCGTATGTTGTTTTGGTAGTTTGTCCGTCCTAAATCTTATATTGCCACTTGACCCGATACTTGGGTTCCTAAATCTTGATTCTGAGTCAATATTGTTGGGAGTTGTTCTTTCTTCAATACTTGGCTCGAGTCCCAAGAGATTGGAACTCTCCATTTTTGGTGCAAGGCTCAAGGGACACATCCTTTG